CCACCAGGGCCCACAACAGAACCAATGGGGCCAACCGCCACGTCACCATTGGGAGAGAGCTATAGCGATCGAGGGGTGAAAGGCTCTTCTTCTTCTAAATTAAAACAGCGTATAGTTTTGGTCTTGGTTTTGATGTGGACGGAAAATGCTCGGTGATTAAAATAGAAACGTACCAGGTAATTTGGGTTTCTATAAATGGAAATTTTATTTTGTTCTATACGCTAACTCTTTGATTTAATTTAGAATTTTTGGACCTTTTTACGGTTTAAGGAAGGAAGTGGTAGGGGCAGCTCGCGCACGCACTCCACGTTCAGTTAATAGAGTGCGCTTTTTCTTTTTTTTTATTTTCTTTTTTTTTTTTTTTTTGGAAAGAGGATAATTGATTATTCTATGCGGAGAATGTAGGCGTAGGTATTGACGAGTGATAGTTTACGTGGAAAGTAAGGGGACGGGGGATCTATGGGGCGTATAGTAATTTATATGCGGACGGTTTTTAGATGATTTTTTGTTACTTTTAAAGGGCAGGAGTCAGGTGGGTGTCGCGACCTTGGTTTGACCTGGGCAGTGCCAATCTGCCAGAGGCGGTTATGCTCTTGCGGGGCTGTTTTGGTCTGGTTCAAAAACAATTTCTTTTAACTTTTACCGTCTATTCTCATTTTTAAGGGCTGTGATCATGTCACGAAAGATTATAATAATGATTTTCGAAACAGTAATTTTAAAGACAGTGATGATTTCAAGGTAGCACTAAAAATCTTACGTGGAGCCATCTTTACCATTGAATGTAAATCCATAGAAAATCATAGACAGATGATATGTGACTTGGGGTGCATTATGTTTGGAAATGGCTCAAATATAATACTTATCATATTAATATATGTTTACTAATGACGAACGCAGATACGTATACAAATACATCTCGGTAAGAAAAACTTATATTCATATCTATAAAAATTTGATATTAATATTGATATAAATGCGAGTATATAAGGATATACATAAGAACAAAAAACATATATGAGACAAAGGTAGTTAATTAATAGTTAAAAAATAGTTCATATGATGCAAGGCAGTTCATTAACATGTTTGGTATCTGAAAAAGCTAAGATTAGACCTCTTTATCAACAAAATAAACCTCAAATCCATTAATTTAAGGATTAAATTGGTTGAAGTTGTACGACTAATATATATTCAAATAATTTTGGATACAAATCTAGATATTTCACTACATATTCGTATCCATAAGCATATCATGTCGGATATAGATATTTTGTGAATATATATGTATTCATTAGGATACGAATACATATATATTAGTGGATATGTATATCTTTTTTGAATACTTATATGTGACTTATTGTCTATTTTAAAATTGATATCCAACATCAATTTATAGGGAAATGAATTTTAGATCCAAAATCATATGATCAATTGTGACTCGTTATCTGAATACATATATATTAGTGGATATGTATATCTTTTTTGAATACTTATATGTGACTTATTGTCTATTTTAAAATTGATATCCAACATCAATTTATAGGGAAATGAATTTTAGATCCAAAATCATATGATCAATTGTGACTCGTTATCT